AATATAGTTATATATATATATATATATATATATATATATATATATATATATAACCTAATTAGTGTATCAAATTCTGTATTATTTTATAGGTTAAATTCAAAAATAGTAATTAAACATTAAAAAAATTACTTTATATTACAAATCGAGCACTTCATTTTTTTTTTACAAATCGAACTTTTGAATAAAAATGTGCCTCTAAGATGGAGCTAAAGAAATTTATGAAAAAAAATTATACAAAGACACTCAAGATAAAAGTTAAGTTTGAATATCTTTAATAAAATAAGTAAATGAATATAATATTTTTGAAATAATCGATCAAATCGTACCACGACACCCCTTAACTCTTATACCTAATGAATCAAATATTCTACCTTTAGTTAGAATACATGTATTTTGTTTTTGATTTTGTTTTTGTTTTTGTTTTTCTCCGAAAATAATATTTGATTAGTAAAAGGTAATTAAACGGATAACTAATATTCTTTAAGTAAAGATCAAATTAAACTTGTTTCATAAATATAATTGACTTTCTATTATATGATCGGTATTAATGGTTTAATTTAAATTTGAATAGAAAAAGAAAATATCAAACAAAGTAATTCATTATAATTAAACAATAACATACAACTTAATTCCCATTTTCCCAAATTTAAAATTTTAGGGATAAATAATTTCAATATATGTTACTTTTTAAATGCAGCAATATACATCATCTCAATAATTCACTCAAAATCATTATAAATTATTTTTGAGGACAAATCTATCGAATTCAATCAAATATTAACCAGTAAATCTAATGTAGACCGATTTAATCAGTAAAATACAAAAATAATTCAATAAAGGAACAAAGGTGATACATAAGAAACTGAACCATTTATATATCTTTATTATAGGAAATTACAAAAACATACATTTAGTTCATGGACAAATCCTATTAATACAAGATTAATAAAAATTATCACAAACTAAAATTTTAATTTGAAACCTAAACACTTTGCCAAATTCAATCACATCAATGCTTCCACTTCACTTATCATTGCCAAGTACTTTTTATGAATCTTCCACCTCAAGTTTAATGACCTTCCTTTTTCCTACATCAACAGAAAATCAACATTTGTAATTTGATTATATATGACGATGTTTGACAGATCATACTCAAGAATATCCTTATATCTTGCGATCTTAAACATGTTACAGAATTTTCAAACATAGAAAAGCGTTATTCTATTTGTTACGTATATCAAAAAAACGAAAACAAAGATTAGTGATTACCTGTTAGGTTTCTCATCAATCACCCTTTTCACCTTAGGATCATCATTAGGAGGATTTTCATTAAGAGATTGCTTAGCCCTTAATTTGCTAAAGAAATCTTGTTCTTGAGCATTCAACTTAGCAATGAACTCTCTAAAAGTAAATGTTTTTGGTTCATCCATGGCTTAATTTTGACCCTAAATTGTGAAAATAAAGTAATTTGATGATGATTTTACAATTTGTAGTGTGTTGTATATATAGGGGGGAATGAGGGGGGGGGGGGGTCAAGGGGAATTTGCTTTTGAATTTTTTGGTTTTTTGTTTGTATTTGTAGAGTGTAAAAAGTGGTTTTTGAAGCAAATTAAATTAAATGTAATTAGCAAAATTATAATTTGGTTAAGTATTGACTACTTAGGGACTAGAAAAATCATTTGAAAACTAGATGGAACATATCATATAATATAATATAACTTGCTCTATAGTATGATTTTCGTTTTCTTAATTATTTAATATCAAAAGAAAGAAAAAAAAAGTATTACACACCAATTAGTAATTTTCCTTAATTGACTTTGACTAATAGAATCACCATAATCTAGTGGTATTGACTAGATTCACTATTTAAAGGAATTTTAATAAATAATATTCATTATGTGTTGTTTAAAATTATAAAAAAAAATTGACTAGATTGACTATTTTAACGAATTTTAAAAATCCTAATATTCCTATGTTGTTTAAAAATTATAGAAATTAGTCATATGTGTTTTTATAAACTATGACAAATGGAACATTTCTACCCTTCATTAATAGTTAAGATCTTCGTACCACGTGTTACGTAAAAAGTATTTTAAAATGTCCTTAAAAATTATGCGAAATGAATAAAATGTCCTCAATTAATAATTTGATTCTAAATCGTAAAACGTCTTTGTCTTTAATAATTTGATTCAAATATATCGTTATTGTTACCTAATAACACAAATATACCATGTTCTAGATAAATATATTATTTTTGTTTTTTAGAACACATTTATTTTCTAATACTTATTTTTTAATTCAAAAATGTTTGTTGTACTTGAATTTAAAAAACATTAAGAAATAATATATGTTTGACTTGAAGTTCTATAATCCTATGGCTGCCTGTTCATAGTGAAAAAAATAATACTTAGGTTGCCCATGAGATATAATCCTTGGGCTGTCTGATTATTGATTGACTTATCGGTTATTGGTGTGTAAATATGCTAAATTGTTATAGAATCATTAAGAGAATAATTGTTATTAGTTTGGTTGTCGGTTTAATCGTTAAGATTTGATTAAGAAAAGAAATATTAAAAAATATTTAGAAACAAAGTGACAAATCAAATGAACTATGCAAATGAGTTGACATTTTTTTGCTCAAAAGCAAACAACTGTCACGTAGAATAACCGAGAGGTTGAGACAACCAGAAAAGAAAGTATGAAACTGAACTTTAAGTCAAGAATTTTATATCTCAAATGATATAAATATAATTATTTAATTTACTATCAAATTATCGACTAACCAACCATTAAAAATGAAGCAAATATATACATGCCCTTTTTTTTGTAGTGACATGCATCTTTTTGAAGATCAAACTCAAAATCATAGTAAGCTATTTTCGACGATGAATTTATCAAATTTGTTCAACTATTAACGAGTAAATTTAATGTAGGCGAATTTGATCAGAGAGATGCATAAATAATTATAAAAAGAACAAAGGTGATAAGAGACTAAATATTTATAAATATTTAAAATGAAACTGTAAATGCATACATAGTAGTTCATGGACAAATCCTATTAATACAAAGATTAATAAAAATTGTCATAAAAATTTTGAAACCTAAATACTTTGAAATATGATCCTATCAATGCCTCAACTTCCTATTTTTGGAAATTTTGATGAACCTTCCATACCAAAGTGATTGTCCTTCCTTTTCCTGCATCAATAGAAAAAACAACATTTGGAAACAATAGATAAATTATAGAAGAAATAAACTAATCCACTCTCTATTTCATTTTATATGACGACGTGTAACAGATACAAAAAAAAAAACATATAAAAAGATTCATGCAACGTATGGTCTTAAGCGTATATATACAATTATATTTTAATGACTAAAAATATGTCAATAAAGATGTATAAACTCGAAATAAAATTGAGTGATTACCTATCAGGTGTCTCGTCGATTATCATTTTCACCCTGCGATTAACACTAGGAGGAGGATTTTGCAAAGAGGGATCAATGTCATTAACAAGTTGCATAAACCTTTGTTTCTTAAGGAACTCTTGTTCTTGAGCATTCAACTCTTCTATGGAAACTCTAAAAGTAAACTCTTTTGGATCATTCATGCTTTAATTTTGACTCACTTGTGGGGACAATAAATCAATTTTTTTAGTGACAATGTTATACAATTTATAGTGTGTGGGTTACAAGGAGAATTTATAAATATAATATTGAAAAGGAAAAAAAAATAATTCCATTTTTGTTAAGTGTATAATTTTCATAAAAAGAACATATGACCTAATCAGTAATTTTCTTAACATTGACCTTTGACTAATTAAGTCACCATTACACAATCTAGTGGTGTTGACTAAGATTAACTAATTTAATAATCATGCATTGTTTGAATATTATAGAAATTAGGAAAAAGAATTAAATTTGCTCCTTAATAATATGGAAGGGAATATATTTTTTCGTTTGTTGGTAACGGTTAGGGTCAAATATGCCGTCAATGTTACTAGTAAGTGTTAAATTTATTCTTAAGCTATGTGAAATAAAATAAATTTATCCTTATTTCAGAATGAACAATAGAAGCGTAATATCTTATAATGTTAGAAGTGAAATAATTAAAAAATAATTATTTTAAACTTTAGAATACTTGAACCTTTTGCATAATTGAATGGCAAATTTAACCCTTACCCCTAATGATGAGTTTTAATTATTTGTTTAATTTGTTCCTCTTTTCTATCTTTCCACCACTCCACTGTCACTAACACTACTCACTCTTATAATATACGTTGTTTTTAAAATAGTTTCTATTTATCTGAAATTTATTTTAACAAGATAATTATTAAAAAAAATTGTAATTATATCAAATTTCCAGGTACAAAACATCCCAAGACCCTATCTTTATGTTGTTTAATCCTAATCTAATTAGGTGTTAATGATAACATAAAAAGATGAACTTCTACCCAATGATCTCTCTAGTAGCATCATTCCATAGAGATGATATTTATTTGAACCCAGAAACTCGCAGACGTTACCATTTGGTTAGTGTGTGTACTGAGCAAACTTGCTCATATGCAATAACTCGCAAGGAGATGTAAAGTAAGCGTAGTGTGACAATCTCAAATGACGGAATGAGGATGTGTTTTTACCTAAAGAGTATATAAAGTAAACATCACATCGTGCACCTTTTAATAGGAAAATGAAACAGGAACACGTTCAAACTGCATTCAGTACATAGTGCACTAATTGAATAGAGAGAATTGATGATCAAACTTAAAACAGAAATCCATTGACAAGTTTAACTGTTATCTAGTCGAATACTGAATCCTGACGGTACAAACTTATGTTCCCTAAGGTTCCTTTAAACAAGCGGCAGCAGCATCTGGGGCATAAACAACGATTCGTTAAGAGCTACTGCTGTGGTCTAGCGACAGGCTCCAATGCTTCAATTGTCACCACGCTGTTCCCGCGGATCACCTGAAAGAGAATTTTGCCGCGATATTAGCTATCATATTCAGAGCTGTAAGATCCAAAGAACCAGAGTGAAGGAACAAGGTAAAGGGAGAGAGGAGGAGAGAATAAGAAACTCACCACCATGCCAATTTCATTCTTATCATTGCCATTAACTTCCACTGTGTTGTCAATGACCAAATTCATGAACTGATCAAACCCACGAAGTGTTCCAGTGACTAAGCGGTTTGCATTCAACTTGACTGCGAAAAATAAACAGCATTATTACTCGAAGTTTGGTAGCAACATCAAACGGCAATTAACAGAGGAATGTAAAATTATAAAACACTATCTATAGGCATTTTTTTAAAAGAAAACACCCTTCATTCAGACTGCACTAAAAAGAAATTCTATGCAGTCCAGCACGGAAGGTTAATGCAAGAGATGCACTTACAGCTTCATAAAATGTCTTCCCCCTTTGTTTTAGTTATGTACTGAAGGTGTTGTAGGAGGTTCTCTTATGGATAGGAGGGATAGAGACATCAAGGAAAGCGCTGATTTCCTGGGACAAATTATGCTGTCTAAAATCAGCTGAAAGGCTGAATATACTTGATCTGCTAGCATGTAACATGGCTGACATTAGCAAAATGTTCTGGAACTTATGCCATAAACAAGACAGATTATGGATACAGTGTGTATATATTTATTATGGGAAGCAAGGTACATAATGGGGTGTGCAACCAAAGAAAGCTTTTTAGGTGGTCCATAAAATCATTAAAGCTTATTAAGACTTTGAGGAAGTTGGCTGGCAAGGGATGGCAAGATGGGCAAGTACTAACTGCAAAGGTAAGGGTGCACAAGCTGAAGTTTATGCTGATGACACTAGCAGCAGGAGTATATTACATATGGCAAGAAAGGAAACCTGTGAATCATCCAATCAAAAGGCAGAAGTCCTGAAGCCCTCTCTAGAATGATAGTCCAGGATATTTACAGTAGAGGAGTAACGAAAGCAAGGCTATCTAGAATACTGGCTCAGTTGAAATATTATTATCCTTAGGCTGCTATACTGAACATTCCTCGATTTTGAAGGATAGTAGGATGTTTCCATAGTATTAGATGCTTTACCAGGCTGGGGATGCCTAGCTCTGGATTTTTTTGATATCCAATGTTCACTTTTGTAGTAAAACTGCTTATTTACCAAAAAAAACAAAAAGGAGTTGTTCAAGTCTAGGGGCGTCTATGCTTGGAAAAAAGTTGCACACACACACACGATTTTTTTTAACCCCACACATTGCAAAAGAAATTGCTGCAGCAAAAGCATGCAACGACAAAGGAAACATTCATGAAAAGGTTTTGAGTTGCATGATGACCACGAGGTACTGTAAATTGCAGTTTAAGCCGCTCAGACTTGAGCCTTGCATTAAAAGGAAATATAAAACAGGGATGTGATTGACAGATGGGAAATACAGAGAGCGTGGTAAATGATACGATAACGTCAGAGCAAGAGTATAAGGTCAAAAAATATTCAGCTCTTAATAGTCTAACAATAATGACTTTTGATTGTGGCTGGTTATGCATTACTTAGCGAACTTAATTTTCTCTGTTGATAATGAGGAAGTGGACGAGAATATATCACTTGCCAGCAAACACAACTTCCTTTACCTTTGAACCTAGATAAAAATCACTAACAGACTCTGATAACTAGCAATTTTGCACAGAGAAATGTAAGCAGTGGAAGAATACAGAAAGCACACAAAAATAAATTCTTAAACCCTAAATTATTGCAGCAAAAACAAACTAAGCACTAGCTGATTTATTTATTTTTTATGACGGTAGTGTACGGGTCGTGCACCTCGACTAATTCCACGGCACACCTACCACCTCCCATCTGCAACAAGTAATCGGCAACTCTATCCATCAAAGCTCAAACAGATGACTGAGATTAACTAGTTTTTTTTGTCTCTGCTGGAATTTAAACAATAGACCTCATGACTCTCAACCACATCATTAATCACTAGGCCACACCTCACACCCTGAGGTGTAAAGCATTACTAACTGAGAAACCCTAAATTCCTTACAAAAAACACTTAAACCCTAAACAAATTGCAGCAAAACCAAATCAACCCTCCACATAAAGCACAAAAACATACAAGCATACAGTTTTACTAACTAATAAGCCTTAAACCCTAAGAAAATTGCAGCAAAAACAAATTAACCAACCACAGAAAGCAATTAAAAAAAACATAGAAACATAAAGCATCGTTAACTTACTTTGAAGCTGCTTGTCCATATACCTATACAAAACAAAACCAAAAATCGAAAACGAATGAGAAATCTGCATATACACATCGAAAAAAAAGGAAAAAGAATATGAAACTCAGAAGCTAAGCTCGATTAGAGGTACAACATACTTTTTGAGATCCGGAGGTTGACCCGACCTGCTCATCCTTGAGAGTTTTACCTTTTGCTCACTTGCCGGAGAAGATGAAGGTGAAGATGATGAAAAATGGAAGAAGTTTTGTACCTTTGCTGCGCAGTCGGGACTCAAAATGTTTTAACTTCAGTCCGCTTTTTATTTGTGGCCAAAACCAACTGAGGGTTAGGTTGGTAATTTTAAATTTATCGAAAAGTCTCGGGTTCGAACCGCCTAGGATATCGAGTTGCTTTTTTAGGATATTTTGTATTTCCTAAGATGGAATTTTTCAGCTCGAATTCAAATTCAGTTAAATTTTCAATATAAATATCGAGTTAGAAACTAAAAAAAAAAGGTTATTGGTCAATATTGATGTCATTTTGTTATAATATTGACATATTTGCTATGCATTTTTAAGTTGTTTTTCTTGATATTCAATTTTTATGAGAGAAATTTCTTTTAAGTGTCATGGAATTTGAGAAGAAAAAGAAACTTTTATTTGTAAAAAAAAAGGGGCAAAAGATAGAAATCACATACTTTAAATGTAAAATTATCATTTGTCCCTTATAAATTTTAAGTTACAAAAGTCTCGCAAACTGATACAATAATATAAGCACTGATACATAATCTGATGCGCGAGATACATTAATCGTTAAGTAAGATACATTACATTTTATACATGATACACTAATCTGATGGTCGAGATATATTAATCTGATGCACGAGATACATTAATCTGATGCGATGATACGTTAATCTAATGTGTGGAAATGAGGGATTTTGGGAATTTATAAAACAAATAGGGTATAATGGTAATAAGAGAATTTCAATGTGAGATTTCTGTCATTTATCCAAAAAAAATAACCGTATAAAGTTGAGATATTATTATCGAAATATCTTTTACTATTTAAAATGTGGCAAGTATCAATTTATTATAAAATAGGGACTGATATTCCATTACCCCCTTAAGGCCTAAAGTGGCTATTTGTCAAAATTATCATAGGTTACATTTTAAAACTTACCCAACATTCCTTACTGGACCGAGACTGGAAATGGGCTTTTAATGGGCCTTCACTTGCTGGATTTAATTGGCGAAGGTTCATGCCATTTCTCGATTGATCGACATCTCGATTCATATATTAATTGTTTTCATCCAATGTTTGATACACGTAGTAAAGCTCGACTTATTATTCTTTTGAACTGATTGATTTTGTCATACATTACTTGGTCCTTATTTACTATTTTAGTCAAAATTCTTGTCTCTTTTAATTTGCGTAAAATAATTAATTAAGATGAGTATTTGATTTCAGCAAATTCAAATTATAACTCTGTCTCGATATAAATCATTTAGGTAAGTCTAAGATCCATTTGTAAGATCTAGTTGCATGTTCAAATTTCATTATAAGTGTTGCATACGCTTTGACAATCCACAATTAAATTAATAAAAATAATTTCTTTATTAATAGTATATTAATTTATATCTTGTCTGTATTATCCACCAATTTTTTTATCTTTCAAATCTTTAAAAGTTGTTCTTTATTATTGATTCAAAATAAAAATTCTAGTTATTACTAAATCCAACATTTTTCTTCCACCCATCATCTTGATAATTTGCACCATATTATTGTCGTTCCATTATTGCATTAGAGGGCGCTCCTTCAAACGGTTAGTTGTAAAAATTATTTCGGATCGACTATTTTCAAATCGCTCGTTAATATTTAGTCATCGATTAAAATATGATAAAAAAATAGATATATATTATGTAACACGAACATAATTTGTGGACAAATAAAATAAGATAATTAACACACAGTATAGATCGAGTTTGAAACTTTGTGTAGGTATTTAAAACTTCAGTGGAAACTCCATGAATTATGATTCATGGTGTTTAAATATTTATCGACTCAAATTGTAAGAATATTTATTGAAGTTCAGACATTCATGAATTCATATATACTTCAAATAAAATAAGATATGAAATGTACGATACTGATAATAAATATTTACTCTAAATTCGATATTTATATTAAACTGATGCATAGCATATCTTAATTCATAATCCTATTGGTGACTATATTTTAATTTTCATAATTACCTAATATGATTTGATGTAAAAAACGAGTGGGGTTTGAATTTTTATTTGATATATATTCCATCAATTTTTATATAATCCATAAGCCACATTGCCATGATTATTTGGAATGCGTAATCAACATACTTTCATCACACATAATAATCATTTCTTAACAAACCCACCAAAATAAAGTATTGGAATCGTCACTCTCATGCATTATTCATTTGAAAACTATGTAATAATCATTTTTCTTTTCTTATTATTTTTGTCATGACGGACGTGTGTATATATATATATATATATATATATATATATATATATATATA